TCACCGCCGCTCCTGTCACCCGTCTCCGGGCAGCTCTGGTTGACCCCATGGGCGCTTCCAGCTTCCTGGTGGGCTCGGACGGGTACCTGTACCAAGGCCGGGGTTGGCACTGGGTTGGTGCCCACACCAAAGGCTACAACAGCAAAGGCTACGGCGTTGGCTACGTCGGAAACTTCTCGGATGCTTTGCCGGACCCTGACACCATCGCCCTGGTGCGGGACGAGCTCCTGCCCTGCGCCGTGCGCACCGGACGGCTTCACCGTAACTACACCCTACGTGGCCACCGCCAGATGGGTCGCACCGACTGCCCCGGTAACTCCCTCTTCCGGGAGATTGAGACCTGGCACGGCTTTGAGGTGAGCACCAAGGCGGCATCTCCGGGGGTCGGAGGTTTGACACCCAGCTTTGGGGTCTGGTGTCCGGTATGGCCAGAGGGTTTGGAGGGGGCGGATGTGGGAGGTGATGCTGGGACTGATCGTGGTTTCTCTCCCCTGCAGTGAGGACCATCCCTACGGGTCCTGGTCTGGATGGGCATGGGAAAGGTTGGATCATGGTCTAGATGGACGCTGGTCCAGGTGGACACCATTCCCATGGATGCCAGCCGGGATGGACCCTGGTCTGGATGGATCCTGGTCCCGATGGACACCATCCCTATGGATTCCAACCCAGACGGACACAGGTCTGGACAGACCCTGGTCCCGATGGACACCATCCCAGCAGATGCCAGCCCAGATGGACCCTGGCCCAGAAGAACCCCAGCCTTGAACTCTACCAGCCTGGACAGATCCTGACCTGGTTGGGCACGAGCCCAGATGGATCCTGGCCCCACTGTCCCAGAAGACCATCCCCGTAGCCACAATCCCCCACAAACCACCCCACAATAAATTCGGTGTCAGGACACCAGCGTTGGGTGGTCACTGGAGAGCGAGAGGGAAACTGAGGCACGAGGCGGAGGGTGGCCATAGGAGAGGACATCAAAGAGGGACCCAGGTGCCCTGGGGCCTGCAGCAGGGCTGGGTGCTGTGGCACACGCGTGTGTGTGCTCATATCGGAGCAGCACTGCCCCCTCCATAACCCACTTTGGAGACCCCACATGACCTCCAAGGACACCCAGCCCCCCCCGACCCAAACAGGCACCCTCTCACTCCAGAGGTGCCCACACAGCACCCCGCACAGCGGC